TGGCCGTGGTCCATGGCTGTGCGTAGTGACATCACGCTTCATAGCTCCATGTGACGGTACGCAGCGTCAGACCCCAGCCCTTCTCACCAACTCGTGACTGAAGGACCAGCTCGATCTCAGACCGCGCTGTCACTTGCGTAACAATGCCACTCTCAGCTGCGCCCTGCACAAAGATTTTCCAGCTCACGGGGCCACAATCTATGAGCCAGCAGCCTGAGAGCAATTGCTACTGGGTCAGGTTAATTACGCAATTAACCCTTCACACTGCCACCACCACCTTTTTACAGAGAAGGAGGAGGAAACTCCCAAATCTTAGCAGTAACACTATGATATTAGAATAAGTGTCTGTAACACACTGTCACCACAGACAGATGTATTCAGAGGATCAATACATACAGTAGCACTCTCCAGAGACAGGGATTCTTTTAGTTTGCATTAAAAGCTTTAGAGACAGTTTCAACACTTTTCAGAAAATAGGATTTATTACTAAAAAGGTCAAAATGGTGCAATAAAAAAATATTTACAGAAAAAGATGTAACAAATATATATATATTAAGAGAGTAATAAAACAACAGAGAAATAAAAGAAAGTGGTTGGTTGGAACCAAAGATGGTTCCTGATGTTAAAAGGGAGAGATCTTACTTTTCTCCAGTCTGTCAGTCTTTTTCTATTATCTCAAAGGGGTGTCTCCTGAGAGCAAATATCCAATCACCTCATTTGGGGATGGGTGTTGGGCGGTGACCAAGGTTATGACCAAATCCCTTCCAAGTTCATACTACGGTCAATAACCTTCAATAGGTACAGGTAGCATCCTAGCAACTGGCAGATTAATATTTAGAATCATATTACAAACGTGCAGATACCAAACTGTAGCATATCCTGCCACTCCAGATAAAAGATATTGCTTTCTACCCTCTTGTAGGCGCTACATAGGGATGTAAGGTGTCATGTGACCCATATTAAAATGACCTATCCGAATATATACTTCATATCAATGTGCCCAGTTCCTGCTGACGTTTATGAATTTGTATGAAAAATGACTCATGTGGGATATACGTTTTATGGCACCCTCTGCTGTAATGCTTACAAGTCATGACCGACTGAGTTATGGTTTTATGACCGGGCAGAGGAAAGTGGTTGTCAAGCAGACATTCTGGAACCAGGGTAATTAGGAATTTACAACCATGGAGCTTATTCAGCTGTGCCTATGCACTTTTGACCCCCCTTCACTACAGACTTACATTCCATTCAGAAGGGGGGGAGGGGAATTATGAGAGTCATGATACAAAATGGTAGACCTAAAAAAATGGTTGCCAGTGTCCCTATCCCTATGCGCACAATTGCCACACTCCACCCTATGCATTTCATCAACACAGAGGATGTCGTTAGGGGTAGATCCATCATGGAGTTGGATCCATCAGAATCTCTGAATTATAACATAATGAATTAATACAAAATTAATTTCATTCCATTAATTCTTTCGTATCCATTTCATTTTTATTTTTCATTACAATTTTCATTATTATATAAAAAAACCCAGCTCTCTGTCGGTAGACTAGCAGAAATGACTCAGAGTGCATAAGTAATCTTCTGAAATAACAAATGAACATGTAAAAAGAATGTAGCCAATCTTCCAAAATAAATTAAATTAATTTTAAATATACAAAATGAATTTGAATATACGAAACAAATCTGAATATATAAAACTAATTTGAATATACAAATGTTTTTGAATAAACAAAATGAATTCTGAAAACAAATCATGCTAAAATAACAAATATAACAAAACAAAATTATTAACTTAACAAAATGAAGCAAAATTTTAATGTCCTGCACATCTCTATTAATGAATACTTGTACAGGAAAACATGTAGAACAAATATTTCACTAAAATCATAGAGGATGCATTTTTGAGAAGGATCGCTTGTGGATACCAGGTGACACATTCAAGGACTACCAGTATGTGCTATTGCCGCTTGTCAGATTTCAGCAGTGGACTAACTAGATCCATAGCACCCTCTCAAAAGGAACCACAACCATAGGCAAGGGGATAAGTAGACTTTGAATATGTGGGGTGCATTAATTTGACACTCAGGACACTTTATAATACTCTTCAATGGATTTGTAAAAATCCCTAAATTATCTCGTAACACGTGATCCAATACTATGTTGTGTGAGACTGAGGTACTACCAGCTACTTCAAAACAAGCTCCCCTTCATATTTTACATGATACAGTAAGTCATGGGATAAAAATTGGGGTATAAAGGCTAACTTCTGGTTCTTCAGGTACCTGGTATAGTACTTTTACATTTTTCCATTCTCTGGCTAAATTAGGATTCCACAACTATGCATCCCCCCAAATCTTTTTTGGTGGCCAGTATGTCCATTCAATCTAGAACTGAGCTGTTTCCCCTGATTCACAAACAAGAGGATTACGCTGCCAGCCTCACCTTGTGCAGAGATTTTCTAGCTCACAGGACAAAAATCTAATTGACAGCAAACTTGGAGTGACCATCACTGGAGCAGGTTAACTAAGCAATTAACCCTGTACAAACACACAATAGCCACCACCATGTGTTTTAACAGAAATATCCATTGTTGTAATCCGCTGTTGACCTTTGTCTGTATCACTCACTGTCATGCCCAGACAGGATTGTAACAATACAGTATATATATCTCTACAGTAGTTAGAGTATTAGGAGATTTAGATAAATTATTTTTAAATGTTGTTTTAATAAACAGACAGGGAAAATGGTGCAGGAAATGCTTACAAAAAATATTCTACAAAAACAGACATCAGCAACAGTAAAATAAATTGGTTTTAAAGGGTAAAAATCACTTCTGGTCCTAGGCTTATTGAAGCATTGGGATCACTTGCAGAGTAGTGTAAGTCCAATTTGATGAGTAAGAGTCACTGGCCCTATTAACAGAACTTAAACAGGACAGTGGTAATTTCGCTGATAAAAACAAAAGCTTCAGCAGCTTTTTCATCTCTGGAGAGGGAGTTGCAGATCCAATTACACCTAATCAAAGGTTCTAAAGAGTTAATGTGAGGTGTGTTTGGGAGCATTTGACAGCATTAACATTATTTAACAGAAACAAATGAACATTTGTTAGATATTCAATATGGTATTCATTTGATGCATCTTTACCTAGGATGTGTAATGTATTTTAGCCTTCTGGACCTTGTGATATAGCTGTGTTTGATGTCTAACTAAATGGCATCTCCTTGTACATTGGTGTAATCACTTTTTACAAGGATATTACATATTGTCAGGAATGGACTGGCCAGCAATAGTGGGACTCAGCTGCCTTATGAGCTGCAGTACCAGGGCTGGCCAGCGGGTGCTCCCAGCAATCAGAGACTCAACCTTGCAGCCAGTCAAACACCTGGAACTAATTATACTGGTGTATTTAAGGGACATTCAGACCTGCAGACTCTGCCTTGGTGTTGTGTTTCTCTTGGGCCCTGTATCCTGTTCCTGCTCTCTGTTCCTGTCTGATTCTCTGCTGACCCTGCTCTGATCCCTGGCTTGTCTGACCATTCTCCTCTGCCTGACCCTCTGTACCACGCTGCCCGCCCGCTACCTGCTGAACCTGGCCTGTGACCCCGACCATTCTCCGCTTGCTCCCCCTGTACCTACCTGCCCGACTGATATTGACCCGGCCTGCCTGACGACGCTTGCATTGTATGTACTGTTATCTGTGGGTGGTTGGTTGGTTTGTTTGCACTGTGTTATGTTTTAGTATTGCACTGCGTTTATGTTTGTATGGTTAGTGTTAATAAATTACATTGTTTATAACATATCTGAAGTCTGCGTTTCCCTGCGTCAGTCACACACCTCTGGTCATACCCGGGAGCCCTGACATTACACCAAGGCCAATCCTGACCAGAAGTGGCTGCACAGGGAAGCCATCTTGGCTTGTTGATGGGAAGGATGGATCTGGATGAGGTTGCGTATTTATATCTGCTAGTGTTTGATGACAGGGAGTATGCTTATCAGACTCTGAAGGAGTATACCCGGGATGAACTGCTAGAATGTATACGGCTCGCTCATGTTCTAGTAGATCAGGGCACAGAGTTCTCTGAGGTGCAGCCTTTGATTGAGGTTTGTGCTGAGTTGGTTTCATCTGGTACCCCCGAATGCAGGGATGAATTTTTGCCACCATTTAGTGCAGACCAGGTAGAGTCCCTGGTATGGTTATTAGAGGATGATGTGGGTTACTTTCTGGAGCGTTATTCCACATGTTCACCACAGACACTAAGAGATTGTATAAACGCAGTGCAGTCTTTGGTCAGACAGGCTTTGTGTAAGCTCAGCTTTGTTCAACCCATACTGCAGACATGGACAGACTTGTTGCACCCAGCCTCAGTCAGCCTACAAAGACCCAGTCCTGCTTCTAATCTATTTCCTCAAAGCTCTATTCCTGCATTCCCAACAGCTCCTCCTGCCCTGCTATCTACCGCATGTCAGTACCCTGTTCCCACTCGCTGCACCTATCCTGCCTTTAACCCTGTAAAAAAGCCCTCTGTAGCAACTGCTCCCTCTCCTGTTCCATCCTCCAGTTCTTCTCTGTCTCCAGCTGCTCCATTCGTTTGCAGACCTGCGTTTACTTGCAGTGCTCCAGTAGTTAAAACCGGAAAAAAGTGAAAATTCTTTACAACCAATACCATCCTGCCAGTATCCAAACCGGTGAACCTGCCTTCCGTGGTTCAGCCTGAAGCCTCTACTCAGCCTGAATCCTCTACTCAGCCTGATGCCTGTACTCAGCCTGATGCCTGTACTCAGCCTGATGCCTGTACGCAGCCTGATGCCTGTACGCAGCCTGATGCCTCTACTCGGCCTGATGCCTCTACTCGGCCTGATGCCTCTACTCGGCCTGAAGCCTCTACTCGGCCTGAAGCCTCTATTCAGCCTGAAGCCTCTACTCAGCCTGAAGCCTCTACTCAGCCAGACGCCGGCATTCAGCCTGATGCCTCTACCCAGCGTGATGAACTGATCCAGCCTGACGATTCAATGTCTGCCCCAGTGCCCGCGGTCATGCCAGTTGACTCGGAGCCCACTGCCTTGCCAGATGACGCGGTGCTCACTGTCGAGCCAAATGACTTGACGCCTGGTGACCCGATGCCCGCTGTCCAGTCAGACGATCCAATGTCTGACCCAGTGCCCGCGGTCATACCAGTTGACTCGGAGCCCACTGCCTTGCCAGATGACGCGATGCCCGCTGTCGAGCCAAATGACCTGATGCCTGGTGACCCGATGCCCGCTGTCCAGCCAGACGATCCAATGTCTGACCCAGTGTCAGCGGTCATGCCAGTTGACTCGGAGCCCACTGTCGTGCCTGGTGACTCGGTGCCCGCCGCTTCGCCTGGGGGCCCGAGACCTGTCGCTCCGCCTGGGGGTCCGGCGCCCGCCGCTCCGCCTGGGGGTCCGGCGCCGCCCCGCCTGGGGGCCTGAGACCTGTCGCCCGCCTGAGGGCCCGAGACCTGTCGCTCCACCTGGGGGTCCGGCGTCCGCCGCTCCCCCTGAGGGACCGAGACCTGTCGCTCCATCTGGGGGTCCGGCGCCCCCGCGCCGCCCTGAGGGCCCGAGACCTGTCGCTCCACCTGGGGGTCCGGCGCCCGCCGCTCCGCCTGAGGGCCCGAGACCTGTCGCTCCGCCTGGGGGTCCGGCGCCCGCCGCTCCGCCTGGGGGCCCGATGCCTGTTGCCTCGCCTGGGGGCCCGATGCCTGTTGCCCCGCCTGGGGGCCTGATGCCTGTTGCCCCCCGCCAGGGGGCCCGATGCCTGTCGCCCCGCCTGGGGGCCCGATGCCTGTCGCCCCTCCTGGGGGCCCGGCGCCCGCCACTCCGCCTGGGGGCCCGATGCCTGTCGCCCCACCTGGGGGCCCGAGACCTGTCGCTCCATCTGGGGGTCCGGCGCCCGCCGCTCCGCCTGAGGGCCCGAGACCTGTCGCTCTGCCTGGGGGTCCGGCGCCCGCCGCTCCGCCTGGGGGCCCGATGCCTGTTGCCCCGCCTGGGGGCCCGATGCCTGTTGCCCTGCCTGGGGGCCCGATGCCTGTTGCCCCGCCTGGGGGCCCGATGCCTGTCGCCCCGCCTGGGGGCCCGATGCCTGTCGCCCCTCCTGGGGGCCCGCTGCCCACCGCCCCGCCTGGGGGCCCGATGCCTGTCGCCCCGCCTGGGGGCCCGAGACCTGTCGCTCCACCTGGGGGTCCGGCACCCCCGCCGCTCCGCCTGGGGGTCCGACGCCTGTCGCCCCGCCTGGGGGCCCGACGCCTGTCGCCCCACCTGGGGGCCCGATGCCGGTCGCCCCGCCTGGGGGACCCGATGCCGGTCGCCCCACCCGGGGGCCCAATGCCGGTCGCCCCACCCGGGGGCCCGATGCCTGTTGCCCCGCCCGGGGGCCCGGTGCCTGCTGCTCTGCCCGGGGGCCCGGTGCCTGCTGCTCCACCCGGGGGCCCACTGCCTGCTGCTCCGCCTGGGGGCCCGGTGCCTGCTGCCCCGCCTGGGGGCCCGGTGCCTGCTGCTCCGCCTGGTGGCCCGCTGCCTGCTGCTTCGCCTGGTAATCCGATGTGCCTCTGCCGGAGTCCTGCCCGATGTGCCTCTGCCCGGAGTCCTGCCCGATGTGCCTCTGCCCGGAGTCCAGCCCGGTGTGCCTCTGCCCGGTGTGCCTCTGCCCGATGTGCCTCTGCCCGGAGTCCAGCCCGATGTGCCTCTGCCCGGAGTCCAGCCCGATGTGCCTCTGCCCGGAGTCCAGCCCGATGTGCCTCTGCCCGGAGTCCAGCCCGATGTGCCTCTGCCCGGAGTCCAGCCCGATGTGCCTCTGCCCGGAGTCCAGCCCGATGTGCCTCTGCCCGGTGTGCCTCTGCCCGGAGTCCAGCCCGATGTGCCTCTGCCCGAAGTCCAGCCCGATGTGGCCTCTGCCCGGAGTCCAGCCCGATGTGCCTCTGCCCGGAGTCCAGCCCGATGTGCCTCTGCCCGGAGTCCTGCCCAATGTGCCTCTGCCCGGTGTGCAGCTGCCCGGAGTCCTGCCCGGTGTGCCAGTCTTTGATATCCCGCCAGTTACCAGATCCGGGCGGTGGAACATTTTGCCCAGCTAGGACTGTTTGGAGCGTCCTGAGGCCGCTCCTTGAGGGGGGGGTACTGTCAGGAATGGACTGGCCAGCAATAGTGGGACTCAGCTGCCTTATGAGCTGCAGTACCAGGGCTGGCCAGCGGGTGCTCCCAGCAATCAGAGACTCAACCTTGCAGCCAGTCAAACACCTGGAACTAATTATACTGGTGTATTTAAGGGACATTCAGACCTGCAGACTCTGCCTTGGTGTTGTGTTTCTCTTGAGCCCTGTATCCTGTTCCTGCTCTCTGTTCCTGTCTGATTCTCTGCTGACCCTGCTCTGATCCCTGGCTTGTCTAACCATTCTCCTCTGCCTGACCCTCTGTACCACGCTGCCCGCTACCTGCTGAACCTGGCCTGTGACCCCGACCATTCTCCGCTTGCTCCCCCTGTACCTACCTGCCCGACTGATATTGACCCGGCCTGCCTGACGACGCTTGCATTGTATGTACTGTTATCTGTGGGTGGTTGGTTGGTTTGTTTGCACTGTGTTATGTTTTAGTATTGCACTGCATTTATGTTTGTATGGTTAGTGTTAATAAATTACATTGTTTATAACATATCTGAAGTCTGCGTTTCCCTGCGTCAGTCACACACCTCTGGTCATACCCGGGAGCCCTGACACATATCCTTAACTGCCTAACTTGTTTCTCCCACAATTCCCAAAACATAGAGAAATCACATAAGAGTATAAGGTGTGAAGAGCCAGCAACTCATTCTCTAAATAAAAACTTTATTAATAAAGGGTACAATGTGCAAGTTACAGCAGTTTACGCATTTTGGCAAAAAACCTTAATCATAGTCCAGCTTACCAAAATGCATAATTGCTATAACTTGCACACATTACCCTTTATCAATAAAGTACTTTTATTGGTTGAACGAGTTGCTCTTCACCTTATACTCATACTACTTAAAGTGCCAGGAAGACACTGAGCTTTGAAGCACCGTTGGTCTACCTCCAGGGAAAATCCACCTAGGAGTACATTTTCATTTATAGAGAAATCACAGCCCATTGTTATACTGTGTTATTAGTTTTTAACTATTCCCACAGCAGGCGTTGGGGTTTCACAAGTTGACTCCATCAATAGCACCCAATGGAAGAGTTCACCACTTTTGGTCTGAGCTATACTTGTTGGATCCAGCAGACTGGCAAGCCCAAATATGGCTAAGATTTCACCTTGAAATATGGGATACTCATTGGCATCCTGTAGTTCAATTTACCGTAGGTGTTTTAGGGGCCTACAATTAAAAAGGGAGCATATCCACCCACTGTTCTTTGGGCACCATTTCACAGCTAAGCAGTTAGTCTCTTACTGGCTAGCATTTGGCAGTATGAGCTGTTTACCAGCTACTCCATTTTGTTTATTAAAAAGCATATATCCTTCTAAGGCAATGGCTGCATCTGAGCATAAAGTTGTCAACAGGCCAGGCTCAGCTGGTCGTGGCAACGATAAACTATGAAAAATACAGCTTTCTGGTGTTATATCAGGATTTAGCCCTTCACCTAGCATCAGATTCCTACAAGAGAGAGAATATATCCACAATCCACAATCCTGCACATTAGTACCTCACACTAACATACACAGTATATATATATATATATATATATATATATATATATATAAACACCTGGTACTTAAAGTCATAACTTTCAATTGATCAGATGTGAGCACATATGTTTTGTGACGTATTACTGTATTTGACATATTATCCAATACTTCTCACTGACTGCACTTCCTTACTTTACCATGTGCTTACATTTTTTAATGTCTTTACTAAAACCAGAAAATACTTATAGTAATAAAAACAATAAAGTCATAGCTTCCATGTAATTAACTACCCTAAAAAGAAATAAATAGGAATGACTGGCACATTCATAGCTGAATTCTTCCCAGTGTAAACCTCCAACAGCAGTATAATTCTACATTCATGGGTGTTAGGTAGAGCAGAGTTTAAATTTCAGCAAACCGTTAAGACTTCTTAGAGAAATAATTGTAGAACAGAACATTTGTAATCTCAGTTTTCAAAGTAATGAGGTTTTATAGTATGCAGAACACATAAGTAATCGATAACTGGTTGTGTGGAAAAATTAACTATGTGACATGTAGAAAAAAAATCTCTAATGTCATTTTAAGGATGTCTTAAGGTACAAAAAAATTGTATTTACCAAGACTATACTTCTACAAAAAATCTGCTCAAGTATGTCCCTTAGGAGTGTAGCAGCTTTGTATCTAACTGACCTCTGAAAAGACGGCAGAAATATGGTTGGCTTAATTAAACTTCAAATTACTTGAAAATAAGTCATTGAAGTTTATAATCGCATGATCATTTCCGCTAAACACTTATCATTAAAAGTAAATTGAAAGCACTAGAAATTAATGTTAACTATTTCCATATCAAGAATGATAAAAAGGAATGAATGACTACATTTAATGTTTCTATTAAAGAGAACTGAATATTTTTGTTGTAGAAAGTAGCACGGTTTGGCCAACAGAACAAAGATTTAATATTCGCCTTCTTTGTATTTTGTTTAATGTCATGTAAGTGTCACCATTACGTGTAATATCTTTGAGTTACATTTACACTGAAAGATGACAAATTGACAAATGTTGACTTAAGGCCCAGCATGCATTGCAGGAGGTAATTAGATAGAAAATATGACCAAAAGACCCCAGACAAAGCATACAGTGAAATATCACAGGACTGTCAAGACTTAAGGATGCCATAAACAAATTTGTATTTGCTAGCTATTGGAACAGTTTCAGAATTGCTTTTGATAATCATCAGGGTAATTAATAAACTCTCTGGTCAACTTTTTTAATAACTTACCTGCTCCTACAACTGAAGGAATCCTCTCCTGTGACCTTATGATGTGATCACAGAAGCTGCCAAGAGTCTCACATTGTTGAAGTTGGGAGTAGAGATCCAGCCTGATGACCTGCAATGCTACCTCTAGACACAGAACACACCGTTAGATTATATGGTTGGCTCTGATTGACAATGAGAGAAAAGTTTACAGTGGTGAAAACATTGCTATTACTCCACCTGAGCATACAGTATGTTGTAATACTAAGAGTGACAATGCTGCAGTGAAGTCAATGCAAATCCTGCAGGATTATCAGCCTTCTGAAATAAGACCAGTTGCCTGGAAGTATCTCAGCTATGGTTTCTATGGCAAAGAGCATCATTTGAATTAAAGGACACACTTTTACTGTTAATGGACATTTGAACTGAAGAACTTTACCTAGTGGGTATTTCTGAGCACTTTCAATCATTCAATTTGCTCATAATGTTTAGAAGTTCTCTTGGAGTGTTTAGTGATTGTTCCTCTTTCCCCATAAAAAGGAAAATCTTTTACTGCAAGATTTGAGGAAAAAAACAAGACAGGACAAGATGTTTCTGTTCATTCTGTGATTGCTGTTTGAATTAGCAAATAGTTGTTCTGAGCAGCAGAGATTCCTATGTTGTTGCATTAGTATAGACGAGGACATAGAAAATCTGATGTGCCTATTAATAGTACCACCAGGTAAACTAAAAAGAATTCCCACAACCTCCGAGTAAAGCTAGCCTCTGCTATAAAACCAAAGCATTTCTCAAAGTTTCTATTGGGCCTTTCCGGGCATGTCAAATCAATTGGAAATTCCAGGATCATCAGTAATGTGACTTTTTTATATCTGGTCAACAGATTTATAAGAATGATCTCCCAGAATTTCATGAGTGATTTGACATATCTGTTTGTTAATTCAAGAAAGGTTACTGTTCATCAGCAACTTTGGAAGATTAAAGAGGTTAGTCAGGAGGGAGACTGGTGAGGAAGAGGACATGCTACGACACATATCTAGTGAGAAGTTTAGTAGTGAATCATTTG